AGCACTGTGCTAGGGAGTGAAGGAATATGGAGGTGAATTGATTCATGTGCTTTAAAACCAACAAACACTGCAAGGGATTATCCAGAAAGGAATTGGGAATTGACAAGGCACTAGCCATATTCGCCCCATCCAGCAAGATGTGGCTATTGAAAAACTGCAACTTAAAGGTGAAACTTAGATCTTGAACTTCAAAGTTATTTCTGCCCTACCATGTAAATCACACACAGAATGTTAGAGGTTGGAAAGGACCTCCAGAGATTGAGTCCACCCCCCCTGCCAGAGCAGGACCATCTAGTCTATGGCAGGTCACCCAGGAACACATCCAGATGCGTCTTAAAAATCTCCAAGGAGACTTCACAACCTCCCTGGGGAGCCTGTTCCAGTGCTCTGGAACCCTTACAGTAAAGAAGTTCTTCCTCATGTTGAGGTGGAACTTCTTGTGCTCCAGCTTGTGACCTTTACTCCGTGTCCTATTGCAGGGCATAAGTGAGAAGAGGTTGCCCCTTCCTTCCTGACACCCAGGCTGCATATATTTATACACATTAATTAGATCCCCCCTAAGTCTTCTCTTCTCCAGACTAAAAAGCCCCAGGTCTCTCAGCCTCTCCTCATAAGGCAGGTGTTCCAGTCCCCCAGTCATCCCTGTAGCCCTCCACTGGACTCTTGAGTAGATCTCTGTCCCTCTTGAAATGGGGAGCCCAGAACTGGACACAATACTCCAGGTGAGGTCTCACCAGGGCAGAGTAGAGGGGGAGGAGGACCTCCCATGTTCTGCTGAACACACTTTTCTTAATGTACCCCAGGATACCATTGGCCTATATGCTGAAGCTCTAGGCAGGCATGTCAATGTCTTCCAAGGTAAATGCCTCAGGAGGAAGACCAAAGTACTAAATAGAATTACATGCCTTGGCTTTGACATGATCAAAGTACAACTTCTTACCTCTAGTGTAACCAGAAAAGAAGGTGAAAGTATCTGGGTGTTGGGATGAAAGGAAAACTTCTGTTACAGGAGGAAGAGGCAGAAGGAGTGGATGAAGAGAGTCCCTCTTACCAGCAGGGAGTGACAGTGCCTAGGGCAGAGAGTAATCAAAGGCTGGGTGGGATGGTCCATCACTGCATCCCTGCTCTTCAGAGAGAGGCAGCATTTCTGCTCATTCTTGTCTTATTTGCATGGTTATAGTCCCACTGGGAATTGTTTTATACTCCTCTCCACGGTATAACTTGGCTCAACTCTTGGCAGTTCTCAGTGTGCTCCTGAGCTTCTTGACCCCCGAGCAAGATCTTGTTTGTAGATGTCACTTTCCCCCTTCACACCTAGTTCTCAGCTCACCTCATCTCAGTGTGAAGGTTCATGTTCTTTCAGGTGGCTCCCGGTGCTTTGGTTTGAACAGCTTTAGATTTAGTTTACACTGATACAGTTCTGATGTGGACTTTGGCACTGCATTCCCTGGATCCAGGATAAGTTTTTAGAGCATGCTAGGTACTGGCCTAGCTCCTTCACTCTGACTTGCGCCTGTTGTCACACTGGTGCAGAGGCTGTTTCAAGGCATATTAAAGCTGCCAGATCAAAGAGGTAGAGAGGAAAAAGTAGGCCAGAGAAACAGTTTTCTGAAATGTTCAGCTGGTTGTCCCTGGAGAGCTGCCCAGGTCCCAGAATTGCAGGAGGTTGCTTGGTGGCCTGGAAGTCCCACAGTCTGGAGAACAGATTTCTCCACTCTCCTTATTTCATAAATTGCAGTGATCCTGAATTCAGTCTAGCTGAGGACCTGGACTGTCCAGCCCCGCGCCTAGGTGGTGTCAGCTGCGTATCACGATGGAGGACAGCAAATTAAAACCAGGTCCCCTAAGTCTGGATTGTATTTAGGCATCCAGTGCTGGGCTCAAGTCAGTTCCCAGCCTGAAGCCTATGAAAGGGTGAGTCAGGAGCCCAAATCCATGTACCACAGCAGCTCCTATGTGGTATTTGCAGGAGGGACATCTCAAGAGATCTCCCGGGAGATATACTTTAGCTACCAAGTTTTAATTTTTAAAAATTTTTACTTAAGTCCAAGCTGTTCAAGCTGGGGATGGACACCTGTGGGATTGCTGGTGAGGAGGTGTGCAGCAGCTGCCCCCGGGCACGCTGCTGTTGGCAGGCTGCTGCTTCAGTGCCAGTGCGGGTCATCTTAATGGCAGTGGCTGGGAAATGGTGAGCTCTGCACTGCGTGCAGCTATTCCAAAGTGGGAGGCTGAATTCAACTCCACGCAGCTAAGTCCTGTGGCAGTGTGTCCTGGGAAGAGCCTCTGGAGTCACCTCCCCTTTGCCACCACCTCACTGACCTGGTGCTTTCCTGCTGGAGCGGGCCAGCTTCCGAGGAAAATGGTAGCAATTTAGGCACAGTCTTAAAATAACTTTTTGCATTTTCTTGTCTGTTGTGCAGCTTAGGGTAGGCTGGTGCCCAGTTTCTGGAGGAGTAAAGCATCTTAGCCATAAGTTGACCTGAGAAGAAGGGGAGGGAGGTAATGTGCAGCTTCAGAGCCCTGCTGCAAATGGGCATCTCTGGACACTGTACAAGGCAACCACTGCAGATGTGAAATTACAGCTCTCTGTAATTAGAGATCCCTATGGAAGAATGGATACTTTGGATCAATTTAGGCCCTTGCAATCTCAATGAGTTGACAAGTAGTCTTTTCTGAGGTCTGTTATCATTATCAAGTACTTTCTCTTCTGTTATCAAATGGTCCATTTCATCAGGTAGTGTCACTTTGCTTCCGAAGTTACTCATCTCTCCTACCTTTTCCATCTTCTCCTTTTCAGGTTTTCATGTTTTTGTGCAGATCAACCCTGCTGGGCCCAGCTTCTTCCTGCTTACCATTGCTGCTGAGCATTGGCCTGCTCTCTCCTTTCTGGTGCCTCCTCCTGAAGGATGACCAGAGCAGAGGGCTTGATTACTGCTCATCACCTCTTTATGGCCACAGTCTTGCTGCATTTGTTTTCTATGCTCCTTCTCAAGTCCCATTGGTCACTGCTGCTGTCTGAGCAAACTCTGCCAGGGGACATCTCATGCTGAGGCCTGGACCTCTTTGGTGGCAGATTAGAGCATATGACAGTTCACAGCATATTGCATCTTGTAGGTGCTCTGTGATGCAAATACCCTTGCCCGTCCCACGAGTATGGCTTGCACAGCGCCCTTACTGGGAGCTTGTATTAGCCTCTGTACCCATGACTAACTTGCATGATTGGCTTTTCTTCTTTCGCTCATCTCTTGTTTCTTCACATTGGCAAATATTCCAAATAATCTCCTTGGTAAAGGGATGTGCCAGCACCAAGAAATCCTTAACTTCTCTGCTTGTTATGATTAACTCTGTTCAGCTTGCTCCCACTGACGCTGTTTGCACAGGGGAGTTGGACCAGGTGATCTCCAGATCACTCCAGACCTCAGCTCTTCTGTGACTCTGTGATCCAACAATCCTATCTTGTGTGAAGCTGTACACAAGGTTGCAGCCTGCTACTGACATGGATGGTCACCCTATGATGGCAGGTGCTGAGCAACTGTGGCAACTGGCTTGACAACATGTGTATGCCTCTGCTTAGCACAGCTGTACTGCCTGGACCAAAAGTCTGTATGGCCTATTACCTGGTCTCTCAGCAGCTGAGTGGATGCTTTGGGAAGAGCAGGGCAAGTGCATGCTATCCCTTGCTTAATGCACCTCTTCGTGCTGGCAGTTGGTGGTGTCAGAGCTTCCAGGAGTTTGTGCATACTGCTGTGACCGATGGTCCTTTGTGGACCCTTCTTCCATGAAGTTGCCCCACTGCTTGTTGACTCCTGCCTTGCGACTGGCTTTAGTGATTGCAGGAAATTGCGCCGTGAGATTTTTGGGTCCACTTCACTAGCCTGTTTCTCTCTCTTGGCGTTGCTGGTTCCTTTCCCCACTGTGTGGGTGCCTCCCAGCATAGGGGCAGGATGGTGTAGGTCCCTGGAGGCTCCAGAGTGTGCTGGGACTGGTCCGACTGGACAGCAAGGAGAGCAGTGCAGGAGCACTGGGACATGTGGCTCTGTTGAGGCAGGGAATGTGCTTGCTGGTGTGAACAAAAGTGAACTCTGCATGTTGTAACTGTGTCACTTTTGGGTGTCACAGGCCAATTACACAAGTAGGGATGTATGTACACTGTACCCAGCTACTACCTGCTCCCTTTGCTTTTTGGCTAATATAACAGCTCCAGCTCTCTAGGCTTCCCATTTTAGGTAAAATTTTATTTCTTTATCTCTTAGCTGCTTGTTTGTCACATTTTCTGGTAACTCCCTTTCTTCTGCCTATAAGTCCTAAAGTTTGTCTTAATCCTATTCTCACTTGGAGTGCAATTTTTTTTTTCTTCTTTTCTGATGGAAGAAGGCTTTTACACCTTGCTCCATTTCTCCTACCCTCCTGCCTTCACTTCCTCATGTCTCTGCTGGGAGATGTTTGTTCAGAGGCAGTTTTTTCTCTTGCGGTTTTATCCCTGGTCCCTGTGTGCCATGTCCCATCCTCATGTCCCAATAGGCTGAGCCTCCCTAGAGGAAATCCAGCCTAAGGCATATTATGGTCCTCTTTGTACAATTATCTTCTTGTCCTAATGAACTATACATTAATCAAAACTCAGTTAAGAGCAAACCTTGATCTTCTGCACTCCAGAGAAAGGAGTGCCAAAACCAGTGGTCCGTAGGACCAATCATATCCCTGTCATTGCAGCCAGCTCCTGTTCTTCTGGTGCTTTGCCTCTTGGGTCTTTTCCCTTCCTGATCTACATACCAGTAGCATATCCTTCTTAGCAGGATTCATAGACTTTGGTTTCTACTGCCCAGGTTCTGCTTAGTCCTTGCCTTTGCCGTCCCTGGGGAAGAGCGACTGCCATCCCTGGTTCACACCCCATTAGGTGGTGCAGAATACCTTTGGCTTTTGCCACGCCGTGGGGCTCTGTGCTGGGTTGTAATGGGCCGTGTCTCGCTCTCCCTCCAGCCTGTGAAGCTGTTTCCCCTGCTATGATGCCAGGGCAGATCCCCGACCCGTCCCTGACGGCCGGCGCGCTGCCGGGGCTGGGCCCGCTGACGGGACTGCCGGGCACGGCCCTGACCGCCCAGGAGCTGAAGTACGCCGACATCCGCAACATCGGCGCCATGATCTCCCCGCTCCACTTCCTGGAGGTGAAGCTCGGGAAGAGACCTCAGCCTGTGAAAAGTGAGGTGAGTCGCAGGGGCTGCTGGCTGCGGGGGGGCCCGCGGGGGCCGCGGTTTT